CCAGATAAAACGTTTTCTGATTGAATTCCACCACGAGAATCGATCTACGTGTTACCGAAAAAAGAAGCTTTATCGGCCGGCGAACTGTCCAAAACCATGGATGCTGAATATATCTGAAAGTACAAAATAGATATTGCAGCCGTAAAACAATCAAAACTCAGAAGGCCAGAAAGAAGGTTGTTTTGTATTCATGTCAATCTTTCGAAAGTTTGTGACTTCTTCAGGAATACTGAAAGTATATCATCGCTTTTAGCTATACTAAGTGACATATAAATCCGAACACCCAGTTTAAATGGTTTTACTCGTATTTTAATAAAAGTTGGTGAATGTATTTATGTTACTGTAAATAACAAGTAAAAAAATTTTCAGCCTTATCAGTTGGACATCCCGGTTTTTATACTGCTTTTTTTTAATTCACTAACGCTCTGAAAATGAATATCTCAGCCGCAGTAAAGAATCAACGTTGGCGGATTTTGGTTCTTGACATCCTTTACGATCGTTTACGATGCCTAGAGTACGGAGACCTGTACGATTTCGTCAACTTAGTGAGTTTGATAGGGGCCGTATAGTGGGACTTCGGGAAGCTGGACCTCCTTTTCGGGCTACTGCAGTTAGAGTGCAAAGAAGTGTAGACACTGTGGTTAGGTGTTGTCAGGCATGGCTTCGAGAAAGCCGTACGCAAGAGCAAGACCGTGAAGATCGCCGCCTAAGATTATTGGCCTCAAGGGGCCGTTTCTCCACTACCAGGTCCATTGCAAATGAATGGTTTGCAGAACACGGAAGACCTATTGGCATGCGAAGTGTTTACCGACGAATGAGAAGTTTTGGCTTGTTTTCATACCGGCCACACTGGGTCCTCCCTTTAACTCGAGAACACCGCCGTAATCGCCTTGAGTGGTGCAGACGACGGTCACTCTGGGATCAGGAATGGAACAGTATTGTCTTTAATGACGAGTCTCGATTTTGTTTAGGCATGCACGATGGTCGTGCCAGGGTTAGAAGGGGACGTGGTGAAAGGAGGAATCCACAGTTTTTTGTTGAAAGACATGTTCATCACACTGTTGGAGTTATGGTTTGGGGTGCTATAGCTTATGGTTCCAGGTCACCTTTAATCTTCATCACAGGTAACATGAACGCGCAGCGTTATATCCACAAAGTTCTAGAACCCCATCTTTTACTATATCTTGACACCCTGGCAGATCCAACTTTCCAACAATATAATGCCCGACCACATGTTGCAAGAGTCACAATAGACTTCTTTCAACATAATGATGTCACATTGTTACCATGGCCACCAAGATCTCCCGACTTATCCCCAATTGAACACGTGTGGGATATGATGGGTAGGAGATTGCTCAATTTGCAACGTCCTCCTCAGACTCTAGAAGCACTTCGAGAGGAGTTGGTGGTTGCCTGGAATGAGATACCACAGGAGGACATTGACCACCTGATCAGAAGCATGCCTAGGCGCGTTGGTGAATGCGTGGCACATCAGGGTGCATCCACACATTATTAAAGGTCAAAGGGCTTTAAAGCAGTGCAATCATTTTGAAATTTTTATCATTTACTTATTATGCTTCATTAATTACTTATACAAAATTTAAACCATTTAAACTGGGTGTTCGGATTTATATGTCACTTAGTATATATTGAAATCCTGCGGACGATGTTTTGAGCACTTGCGGCTTTTCGAATCATACTTGTAAAATCGTAGTAAAGCAGTCCAGCTGGGTTCTCGAAAATCTGCATCAACTCCAATCAAATCGGGTGGGTCGCAAGGTTCTGTGTTGGTACCATTGCCTTTCACACTGTACACTAGTCAGTTTACCAAACCTGTGGCTATGGCGTTTGCTAAAAAATCTGATCTACAGTTTTTAGAATCAACCTTGAAAATGAAGTAATACTGCCATTGAGTTTACAGATAAGGCGAAGAATTTTGGCTTATTCATTGATCAGGATCTGAGGTTTAGCGACCATGGTACATGTTTAGATCAAAACGGCCTTCGTCGTATTCGTGTACAGAACTCGTGCATTTGATTCATATATAATAATAAATCGCCTTTTTTTAGGGGGCGAAGTTTAGCATAATGCTACTCTGCCACTTCACCAAAAAAAGAAGGACTGAAAAAACAATACAAAAAACATAAATACATTTGATAAGTTAGAAGTTTAAAAATGTAGGTAAAATAAATATGATGTACATAACGTGGGTGACTTCGAAGTTGAGTGATTTATTTTAACAGTGAGTAGATCTGATCAAAAGAAATGCTTTTTTCCTTTAACATTTTTCTGGTAAAATTAAAGTAACAAAGTTATAGCCCTTTAGAAGTTTGAGTACCGCCCTGTCTCAATAATAATATTATGTGCTCGTGTTTGGCAACCACGGATATAATCCGCCTTATCCGTTCATCGCATCGGAAACAAAAAAGCGAAAGAATTTGAAACGATGTTTTTACTACCAAAAAGTGCCATTTTGCGCCGTAATGTTGACCCGAGACCTGAACACCGAATCAATATACCATCTCACAGAACAGTTTTGAAAGAAGCTTCAAATTCACAATTGCTCGACATTTCCATCAATAAAATGAAGTTTTCCTACTCCTTTTGATGAAATACTGCGCCAGACCATAATGGATGCTGGAAATTTCACTTTTCTCTTCAGACATCTAACAGTTTGTGGGCCTCTCTAGGAGTTGTGGACCTCGAAATTCTCCTTCCAATAGCGTCACTCCACAGATCATTTAAGTGTAAATAATTGGCACGTCTGTTTTTCACGATTATTCTTCTTGATGCTCTTCGGTCGGCATTTGTGATATCACTTTTTTTCACATATCGTGGCTTAATATTAACTGAACCAGTTACGTTATATCTTCTAACAATATTTCTCACACTGTACCGCGATAAGTCTGGCAAAGCTGCAATTTCTGAGTTTGATTTCCCAGAATTAAAAAATTTAATTATCTTTTCTCACTAATAACCTTTCCTCTACCTATTTTGAAAACTTTAACTACCTAAAACTATTTTAAACGTATTCTGACAGCTGTGATTAATAGAAACAATTGTCATGGCTTTTATTTTGCACAGCCACCTATGCCTTATAGACTTATTTTGCATTGAAATGAAAATAGGTTGATATGCTGTAATTGCAACATGTGTTATTTTTATGCTGCAAATTTAATTAGGGAGTGATACAGTTGGTGTTTTCTACTATATATTATTAAAATATTCATTGTTAATATTTTAAACCGATAACCCTGCTATATTTATATTATTTGTGTTTAATAAGAAAAAACTAAGATTTCAATAGTTGGGCCATTGAAGTGGAAAGGGGCTCGTACATTGCCTATACTGTAAATACCTAAAACTGTTACGACTCATAGGCGTGATCAGACAGGGGGATATTCACAAAAATGTGGCAGCTTGGCCACAACATCGACATCATCACGGCGCCAGTTATAGTCAATCTTGGCGAAGAAAGAGATAGAGACAGCTTATTACTCTCAGATGGAAGTGGAAACGACCACGAATGAAGAGAGGTAGACTCAATTAGTTCATGGATAATCATAAAAAAAACTGGCAAAGGTAATCTCTAAATTTCTGATCTATAGCCTCCTTCAAACCATTTCCTTTTTATATTAAACATATAAAAGAAACCAAGTTCACCACATTAAAAATTCATAACCCGCCACTGACCGCCCAAGTACCGGTGGTTGAGTGATGTTCACGCGAACATTGATGAGTCATTACAGTTTTAGATGGTTATGGTATAGTGATGGTGATGCGGAAGATCGTACAATCTGTCGCGTTTCCAAAATGTTACACCAGAAAGTGTTCGCACAGGATTCTGCAATATTCTACGCTACTGCCAAAATTGTGTGCCCAAGTCAAAAATATGATCGTACAAAATAAAACCATTATTTGGGCGTAAAGAATAAACTAACGCATATTTTCAATATTCATCTTGATTCAAGGAACTGGTGTAACATGTTGGCAACACGGCAGATTGCCGCCTCAGCCTTGCTAGGCAACGCGGTGATGAGATTCACTATCCTGGCGGCTTCTATCTCTTTCTGACATCTGTGTCTATACACACTTCTCTCTCTTACACATTGAACTCAAGCCGTCAGACATGTTTGGTTCTCGGTGTATACAGTATGTTACAATGGATACTATACAACTAGGACATCCTGGGGATAGCTAAATAACATGATCAGCTTAGTGGTGGACAGTAAACATCAATTAAACGTGTTTCGGGTTCTAATTTTGTCTGATTAGGTGAATCGGGGGATAGGGTGTCAAGTTACAGATCAAATCTCCCCATTAGGCAAACATCATCAAGTCAGTATTACCATTTATACTACGTGTGATGACCGAGTGTGTATTACTGGCGATAACACATTGCATGACTTTTGAAACGTCATCTGACATTTACTAGTACTCACTTAATGCATCTATAACAAAATAAATTGCAGTTTGTACCTTTAGAATGACTTGACCTTGTGAATGCCATTATCAAAGACAAGGACACAACCACGACTTTTCTGCGCTCTCAGAAGACTACCTGTCCTATTGAGCTTCCTGAATCCTCGAGCAACTCGTGCCAGATCTATTCTAGCATAAACATATAAAAACCAACTTGCCCTGGAAGTGACCTTGTAAGGATTATGGTTACGGTCAACATGACACCTCCCAACAACCTCCGACAACGTGTTTTGACGAAATATTCCTTTTATTATATTACTGATTCCCCTAGTTTTTTGTCAATAGTTACATTTTTGCAAATCAGGTAAACTTTATCGGCCTATTTCTCAGAAACTAATCAGGTGCTTTGGTCCCACTGACACACTAATTTGTTCAGGAAAGCAAGAAATATATTATCCTGATTTTTCAGACAAATCGACTAAAATCCTTTTGTTATGTTTTTCTTTCCCTTGTTAACGTCCTTCGTATGCGATCAGGTAAGTTCATAACGATACTGTCAACTGCAATATGAGTTCATAATGCCAAATGTCAGGAATAAAGACTTCCAGATAGCATCTCCATTGAAGCATCAGCCAGTGGGTAATTTGCCAAGAAATGAGAAAATAAACTACAATTACGGTTGCAGATATAGTCAGCTTAATGTGCCTGCATATACGCCCGCTATACACGCTTTTCTCATACATATATTCATGCACCGGAGAATATTAAATATTAAAGCTTCAGTGCTATACTCGGTATGTTTGATTTCATTTTCGCTTCATTTTGCTTTCTTTTTGGGGGCTGCCATATATTTTCATTGTATTCTTAGCAACTCAAAATCAGAAACAACTTTTTAAATTTTTAAATCACAGTAAGATGATTATTCCATTATCGTTCAACTTCAATACATTCTCTACAAAATAAGCACCAGCCCACAATTAGGACCTTCCCGAGCTGTAGAATTTATTTTCGCAGAACTGCCATTGAGAAAATCTAAGATATACTAAGTGACATATAAATCCGAACACCCAGTTTAAATGGTTTTATTTTAATAAAATTTTGTATAAGTACTTAATGAAGCATAATAAGTAAATGATAAAAATTTCAAAATGATTGCACTGCTTTAAAGCCCTTTGACCTTTAATAATGTGTGGATGCACCCTGATGTGCTACGCATCCTCCAACGCGCTTCTGATCAGGTGGTCAATGTCCTCCTGTGGTATCTCATTCCAGGTAACCACCAACTCCTCTCGAAGTGCTTCTAGAGTCTGAGGAGGACGTTGCAAATTGAGCAATCTCCTACCCATAATATCCCACACGTGCTCAATTGGGGATAAGTCGGGAGATCTTGGTGGCCATGGTAACAATGTGACATCATTATGTTGAAAGAAGTCTATTGTGACTCTTGCAACATGTGGTCGGGCATTATCTTGTTGGAAAGTTGGATCTGCCAGGGTGTCAAGATAGGGTAAAAGATGGGGTTCTAGAACTTCGTGGATATAACGCTGCGCGTTCATGTTACCTCTGATGAAGATTAAAGGTGACCTGGAACTATAAGCTATAGCACCCCAAACCATAACTCCAACAGTGTGATGAACATGTCTTTCAACAAAAAACTGTGGATTCCTCCTTTCATCACGTCGCCTTCTAACCCTGGCACGACCATCGCGCATGCCTAAACAAAATCGAGACTCGTCACTAAAGACAATACTGTTCCATTCCTGATCCCAGAGTGACCGTTGTCTGCACCACTCAAGGCGATTACGTCGGTGTTCTCGAGTTAAAGGGAGGACCCAGTGTGGCCGGTATGAAAACAAGCCAAAACTTCTCATTCGTCGGTAAACACTTCGCATGCCAATAGGTCTTCCGTGTTCTGTAAACCGTTCATTTGCAATGGACCTGGTGGTGGAGAAACGGTCTCTTAAGACCAATAATCTTAGGCGGCGATCTTCACGGTCTGTTGTTCTACAGCGGCGTCCAGTGCCCCTTGCTCTTTGCGTACGGTCTTCTCGAAGCCATGCCTGACAACACCTAACCACAGTATCTACACTTCTTTGCACTCTAACTGCAATTGCCCGAAAAGGAGGTCCAGTTTTCCCGAAGTCCCAGTATACGGTATCAAACTCACTAAGTTGACGAAATCGTACAGGTCTCCGTACTCTAGGCATCGTAACTGATCGTAAAGGATGTCAAGAACCAAAATCCGCCAACGTTGATTCTTTACTACGGCTGAAATATTCATTTTTAGAGCGTTAGTGAATTAAAAAAAGTAGTATAAAAATCGGAATATCCAACTGATAAGGCTGAAAATTTTTTCACTTGTTATTTATAGTAAGATAAATACATTCACCAAGTTTTATTAAAATAAAACCATTTAAACTGGGTGTTCGGATTTATATGTCACTTAGTATACAATGTAGGTATTTGTACGATAGAGACTAAGACCCACTATGAAGAAATGCAGCAAGCATCAGCGTGGGACGTGTGGCGAAGGACTGACGGGATTAGTGAGTATGCGATTTGAAAAATTAAAAAAAAAGTGATGATGAGAACAAGTTTTGCCTATATCTTTCGCAGATAAAAAATTGAAGCAGATCATTTTTGTGACATGACCCACATTGTCGCTCAGTAACCCTCTTTACACGCGTTTACCAAATATTGTGTCGACTTACAATTTCCCCCGTAACTTTAGTTACCTTCATTTAATCCTGCTGTTGTGGCGATCCTCAACTAGAATGTTACCTGTGATCCCTTCTCGGTGGTCAAGAGATTCCGGTAGCTTGGTACTTATAAATGAAATGCCTAAGTTCAACACAAGGCAACTAAGCAACTGCTTTGCGTACCTGATATTTTATGAGTATCCCCCTACCGCAATTTGCTGAATATTTAACAACATCCTGCCCTTGTTGGTGAAGCAACCCGTCTAAGTGGAGTCGAGCAAGTTATAATAAGCCTACGAGGATATGCTCATCATTTATTCCTTTACATTTACTAACGTCCTTGTTGTGACGCTAAGTAACCTCCAGATTCCGCGAATAAAAAAACTAAATATCCAAGTTGGTTGGTGAGCAAGCCAGAGTGGTTAGATACATTTAGCACCAACATATTTTCAAGAATCTCGGAGTTAAGCTTTAAGAGCGGTACTTGCTACAGTCTACCTATACGCGCATGAAGGGCATGCTTTAAACTAGTAAACCTTGAAGAGGTCTTACTGACATACCGGGTGATTCTCCAAGGTGGCGCTATCACTTCTTTATTATTGAAGGTAGAACAACAAAATTTGGGAGTTGCGTATTATAGACGAATTTACCATTTTTGACATCTCACTTGCTTTGACGTAGAGAAAACGAACCAAATTTGAGATAATTTTTCGAAAAGGAAAAGTAAAGCACTTATTGTTTTAAACCAGCCTATATTTTTAAATAAACTTGCGATGTGACACTCCAAGCAAACTCTAAAATAAAAAAATAATATTAAATATATTCTTTACAGACAAAAAGTATATTTTAAAAAAACTAAATATTTTTGTTAATTTGAAGCTGATTCCCTAATTTTAGATACTATTCAAAAAATCGCTTTCCTCTGCAGAAACTGCAAATGGAAATTTTACTGGTAATCTCTTCACAATCTTCATGTGTCCATCCACGTCAGTGGTTGCATTTTGCCCTTTTTCCATCCTTCTTATCTTCGGAAAATCGACCCGTACAAAATAAAGCATTCGCTTTCGCCGCTTTTTTAAGAAGATGAATCATCCAACTTAAGGCTTCCGCTGCATTCTGAACTTGAACTGGAGGGGGAAGGTATCCGAATCCTTTTGAGGATTTCAAATAACCCATCTCCTTATTCTTTACAGCTCTGACGGACTTTATCATGTCATTTGGGTTGACTTTTTGTGTTTTGGGGCATCTGCAATATAGCAATAATAAAAGATAATTAAATATAAATCTCTTGATACAGGGCCCTAATTTGAGAGTATTTGAGTATTTCAAATTAGGTTCGACATTGCGGTTTTAACAATAACAATAACAGCAACCTTTACATGCAGATAAAAATCCTATACAACAGCTGTATTTGTGACACAAATAGTGTCAACCAAACAAAATTAACGATAAGATCTTGCTCTAATGCATATCGTTGAAATCTGTATTGAAAAAGTCATATATTGTCTATGGTTCTAGATTTAGTTCTATTTTATATAACCTTTATTTAAATGCACTTAGCTTTAAAATATTTTTCACAACTACTAGTGAATGGTTGAAAAGCTTTAGACAATTATAAAGATGACGTTTTTCAAATAATGCTAATCAATGCTTATGATAAATATATACTAAGTGACATATAAATCCGAACACCCAGTTTAAATGGTTTTATTTTAATAAAATTTTGTATAAGTACTTAATGAAGCATAATAAGTAAATGATAAAAATTTCAAAATGATTGCACTACTTTAAAGCCCTTTGACCTTTAATACTGTGTGGATGCACCCTGGTGTGCTACGCATTCTTCAACGCGCCTAGGCATGCTTCTGATCAGGTGGTCAATGTCCTCCTGTGGTATCTCATTCCAGGCAACCACCAACTCCTCTCGAAGTGCTTCTGGAGTCTGAGGAGGACGTTGCAAATTGAGCAATCTCATACCCATCATATCCCACACGTGCTCAATTGGGGATAAGTCAGGAGATCTTGGTGGCCATGGTAACAATGTGACATCATTATGTTGAAAGAAGTCTATTGTGACTCTTGCAACATGTGGTCGGGCATTATCTTGTTGCAAAGTTGGATCTGCCAGGGTGTCAAGATTGGGTAAAAGATGGGGTTCTAGAACTTCGTGGATATAACGCTGCGCGTTCATGTTACCTCTGATGAAGATTAAAGATGACCTGGAACCATAAGCTATAGCACCCCAAACCATAACTCCAACAGTGTGATGAACATGTCTTTCAACAAAAAACTGTGGATTCCTCCTTTCACCACGTCGCCTTCTAACCCTGGCACGACCATCGTGCATGCCTAAATAAAATCGAGACTCGACACTAAAGACTGTTCCATTCCTGATCCCAGAGTGACCGTTGTCTGCACCACTCAAGGGGATTACGTCGGTGTTCTCGAGTTAAAGGGAGGACCCAGTGTGGCCGGTATGAAAACAAGCCAAAACTTATCATTCGTCGGTAAACACTTCGCATGCCAATAGGTCTTCCGTGTTCTGCAAACCATTCATTTGCAATGGACCTGGTAGTGGAGAAACGGTCCCTTAAGGCCAATAATCTTAGGCGGCGATCTTCACGGTCTGTTGTTCTACGGCGGCGTCCAGTGCCCCTTGCTCTTTGCGTACGGCCTTCTCGAAGCCATTCCTGACCACACCTAACCACAGTGTCTACACTTCTTTGCACTCTAACTGCAATTGCCCGAAAAGAAAGTCCAGCTTCCCGAAGTCCCACTATACGGCGCCTATCAAACTCACTAAGTTGACGAAATCGTACAGGTCTCCGTACCCTAGGCATCGTAACCGATCGTAAAGGATGTCAAGAACCAAAATCCGCCAACTTTGATTCTTTACTGCGGCTGAAATATTCATTTTTAGAGCATTAGTGAATTAAAAAAAAGCAGTATAAAAACCGGAATGTCCAACTGATAAGGCTGACAATTTTTTCGCTTGTTATTTACAGTAAGATAAATACATTCACCAACTTTTATTAAAATGAAACCATTTAAACTGGGTGTTCGGATTTATATGTCACTTAGTATAGTTAAAAACTCTAGTATGATCATTGACAGTGAACAATAGCCTATTTTTAAATAGATATACGAGGCACTCTTAAACAAACACTCCAAAAACTGTTAAGATACCGATTTGCTTGAATTTGTTTCTACATGTTTCATTCAACCTCAAACCCAAGGTACTTCTCCATATTCAGTTTTGTATTACAAAGATTCTATCAAAGTTACTACAGTTACCGATTAACATAATTCCATACTTTAATCTGGATTCAAAATTTAGTGATACACAGCTTCCAAAGCGTTTCTATCCAAATATTTAGCAATAATTCTTAAACAGCTCATATAGATGAGCCAGCTGAGGTAACTATCTAATTCAAGACCAAGAGATCTAGTATTGTCAGACACTGACACAGTTTGCACTTTAAGACAAACTTAAATATTTCGCGGTGCGGTGTGTTTGAATGTGCAGCCCTTGAAATAACCTTGAAAGAGCTCGTCTTAGTCGCCGTTTCTTTATATCGTCCATGTGACGGTCAAATCGACGCATTTTTTGAGAAACTTCAAATAATTCTAGATATGTTCAGCAATAAAAAAAAGAAATGTGTTATAGCCGGCGATTTTAATATAAATCTGTTGGTGACAAATAGGAAATCAACAGATTTTATTGACATAATTCATTCCTACGGTTTGAAAGCAACTACTACCGATTTCACTAGAGTAAAGAATGACTCCAAATCATGTTTGGACAATATTTTCATTAACACAGATGTGAACTTTCAGTCTAAGATTATTGATACACTTTTTTCTGACCATAAAGGGCAACGTACCCTCTTTTCACTCAGTACCAATATCCATCATGAATCCAAATTGATTAGAGTGTTTTCTAACGCACATATAAATAGTTTTCTACAAGATCTAAGATCAGCATCATAGAACGAAATTTATAGTAGTGTCAACGTAAACAAAAAGTGGGACATATTTTCTCAGATACTACAAAGCAGTTTCAATTACTATTTTCCTCCGAGGATAAAAAAGCGTGCTGCGGGAAGTAAGAAACCTCCTTGGATTACCTCAGAATTGGATCGACTCAGGAACAGGGTGGGTGCTCTTCAAATGATTTCCCAAAACGATATGAAATATAAAGCTGTTATAATCAGACATGTGAGAAACTCTTAAAAGATTCAAAATCGCAATACTATTTAAACAAAGTAAATAATCATAGCAATAGGAGTAAAGGAATTTGGAATACAGTACGAGAATTAACTACCACACCAAAAGCGTCGTTTCAGTTTGTTTTACCGGTACATAATGATGTAAATGCTTTAGCAAACCATTTCAATGAAAGCTTTGTCGTAGCTGCTCCAAAACTCCTCTCAAAACTACCAAATTTGAATTATGACTGCAACCTAGAGCTAAAAAATAAAACAATATTTTTAACTCCAATAGATCATGACGAATTGCTCAGAATTGTATGCAACCTAAAAAACATAAAAAGTTGTGGTGATGACAAGGTCCCAATTTTCACCATTAAAAAAATGATAACCATAATATCTGAACCTCTTCTTAATATCCTGAACACATCTCTTATTGAAGGAGAATTCCCAGAAGCATTAAAAATTGCACTCGTATTACCAATCTATGAAAAAGGCGATCCTGATGATATGGACAACTACCGTGCTATTATCTTACTATAAATTTTTCAAAAATCTTTGAAATTGCTTATAACAACCGTCTTATTAATTGTTTCCACTCAAATAAATACTTCACCAATAACCAACATGGCTTCATGAAAGGTAGAGGTGTGAACACGGCACTGTACGATTTCACCACAGCAATCCATGAATATTGAGAGAATCAAGGAGCAGCATGTGGATTATTTGTGGACCTGTCAAAAGCATTGATCACGAAATATTGCTAAACAAATTATATAAATATGGTATACGCGGGAATGCGTACTACTGGCTTAAATCTTACCTGTGTAATAGATGACAGAAAGTAATTTTGAACAAAACCGGGAAACGAATAACATCTAGTCCTCGGACATATAGTATTGGTGTTCCTCAAGGCAGTGCACTGGGCCCAACATATATCCACCACCACGAAAAACACGCAAAATCATAGTTTCATCTATGCAGGTGATATAACTATTCTGATACCATATAAAGGAACGTCTGATATCCGAATCTTGATAGAGACACAAATAAACCATATTCAAAACTGGCTGCAGATGAATAAGTTAGCATTCAACATACAAAAAACGTGTTGTGTCCTATTTCAGTCAAGCCATGCCACCAAAGAACTACCCTTAATTAGTGAACCTCTATGTATCAAAAGCGATACAAACCTCTTAGGTGTCACCTACGATAGCTGTCTTAAGTTTGATAAGCACGTTGAGAGTATGGCTTCAAAACTCAATCAAGCATGCTATGCACTACGAGTACTCACTTGTCACCTGCCCTTGCAACCTGTGCAGGCTGCTTACTATGGGCTTGCGTATTCTATTATGTCTTATCAAATAACAATTTGGGGTAATAGAATTTTTCTCATACAAAAGAGGATGATAAGAACAATGTTCAAAATGAAACTTAGAGAGTTATGTAGAAGTATATTTAAAGTCAACCGCTTATTAACATTACCGGGAATTTATATCTATAACACTCTACTATTTATCTTTAGCCATAAAGAAAAGTTTGGAAAAAACGTCTTCAACCATAGTTACAATACTCGCACAAGTCAGCAATACTTCTACCCATCACATAAGCTAAATTCTACCGAAAAATGTCCACATTACTCTGCACTAAAACTTTACAATGCTTTACCTCGACATCTTCAATCCATTTCAGCATTCACTATATTCAAAAAAAGCATTCATAAATATATATGCGATATGGAACCATATAGTATTGAAGAGTTCTGTGCTCTAGTGAAACCGTAATCGTTAATATCGCTGTTGTTGTATGTTTCCTATGAATGTTTGTTTTGTATGTACTTTAGAAAAATTGTATGTTATTTACACTGTATCACAATGACGTGTTATCTATGTTATAAATTCCTTGTTTTTTTGTTTATAACTGAGAAACCAATAAATTTCCATTCTATTCTAATATTGAAACACTCTTTTTGAACGTTACCTTCTGGTTAGCAGACAAGTTGCACTTACATTGCGATTGAAAAACCGGGCCTTAGAACACTCGCTGTTACGGATGCACCGATCCAAAAAATCGTATACACGGTGGTACCGTGGTGAGTGTCCACGAGGCGGTGTGGTGCAACTAGAAAAGGATTGGAGAAACACTACCAATCCGGTTGTCTCACTTGACAGCCCGCGGATAAGGCAGCTTCAGTGAACAAAGAAGCAGTGTCGTGGGTGGGATGGAATTTGGCTCTAATTGTCGAAGATATGAAGATGAGAAATCGCGTCCCATTCTTCATGATGATATCTCTCAAGTTTCTGTTTACTAACCAAGAAAACAGTCAGCTTACATTTAAATTCATCAAGCCCCCACCATACTGTTCGTGATCCAAAGCGAAGGAATTGTGGTTGAGCTAAATTAAATATTTAATAAATTAAATATTTACCTCATTTTAATATCACGTTTAATATAGAGGCAGTTAAATCATTATTCACTAACCGCATTAATATTCACCGAAATAAAGGCATCGAAATCCGACGGAAAGCCCGGCATAAGCCGGGAAAACGTTCCCCTACGACAAAATGAAAACCGACATTGAAACATTGGGAAATGAACGGATTATGAATCCGACTGTTTTTCATTTCGTAGGATAAATGTTCTGTCATCGACCACATTCTCTGCATTATCGCAGTGGAGGCGATATAAAAGTTGCACTCAATATATTTCGGATGTCGACAAAAGTGTACGTATGCATATGACCCAGTGAATTTTTGTATTTCTCTGTTAGTATTGTAGTAGCTTTAGCACAGGTTAGTACGCGACAGATACCTGAATACTTCTAGTAACCATTTGTGACAGCGCCACCTGAAGGAGGTGATCCCAACTAAGCCACCTTGCGCGACAATTTCTGGCCTGAAGTGACATCCATCCATACCGAGAAGACGTGACCCTTGAGCTCGTTTTTTCAAAAGGAGCGCAATTCAAACCTAGTCAGATTAGTACATAGAAGATACACAGATACTAATAAAAGGTGGTGCGTAATTATTCCAGGGCCAGTGATAGACGTTTGTGTTTTTGAACGTAAGCTACAGGCTCATTGAGAGGGTTAGAAGCTGTCTGCTCTTGTCTATGCCTTAGTTGCAAGTTCTGACTGAGAAGAGAAATATTCACCTGAATGTACCGTGGGATCTCAGCAACAAAGCACCAAGTCGCACATGCATATGTCATGATATGGTATTATCTCCTGTATGGAAGAATAATATATTATAGTCTCAATAAGGTATTTTTTGATTGTGCACTTCTGCTGTCTGTGAGATAGGGCCAGTAGATAATTTAACAGCAGAGGAGGCAGAAAGGGCCTGTAAAGTGTCCGTTACGAACAGCTGGGTCACACATAGCTTACCCATACGCCCTGATAGGTCTAAGAATGTATTTGTATAAGAGTCATTTATTTGAGATTGAGAATCCCACTATCTTCTATTAGCAGGGGTTTGAAGATTCCCGACAGCCTTGTTCCAAGCAGACAGAAGAGTAATTTCCTGTCGGTTATCAACCCCAAATACTTTACCTGCAATTGCTTGCTACGTCTCGATCGAATACACACAACTGCCTAGACGCAGAATGCCTACGTCTTGTTAGGAAAACAGCTTGGATCCTTTGTGGATTGATTTTCCACATACAGAGGTATTTCTCGAGTTGACACCTTGGCTCCTAAAGGCTGTCCACAACCTCTTAGGCGTGTATTGACCAGAGAGGTATCATGAGCATGAAGGAACACGTCTGCGTTGTCAAAATAGAGCGATCTCCAAAGTACAGATTAAATATAGGGTAGAAGTAAGTACGGATCCTTGCGGAACTCCTGCCCTGATGCTCCTCAATGATGAAAGATAACTATTAAGCAATTTGGGTAACTGAGCTTGTAGATAAGGCCCTGATGCCATACTTTGTTTAATAATTTTGCGATATGTAGCAATAAGACTTTGACTCTGAGTATATCCTATGTGGCAGCAATATCTTCTTTACATGAAACAAAACCATTAAACCAGACTTAGGTCCTCTATTATCCGTTCCAATTACTTGTGAATTTTGGTCAGAAGTGCCTTGTTGTTGTTTCGAAATCTCTAAAATAAGGGAAACGTTTTATTAGCCCCATCTTTTAAGAATCTAAGAAGCGGTCAATGTCTTCCGATATAGTTACAGGAGCAAGACGTCAACAATTCTATTTTTATTCATAAAAATGCAATCTAGTCATACTTTTAACCTTTATAATTTCCTGATGCATGCAATCATGCGATAGCAGGGTGCGAATCAAGACACCCTCCAAGTCTTTTTTCGAACTCCAATCTCCACTCTTGCTCCCCCTAGGTGGCGCCAGTGCGGTTGCTGCTCGAACATTATGAAAAGTATAAGTATGGCTGTATTTTGTGACCATCGTCATCAAAAATGGATATAAATAGGATTTTGAACAACGGACTTTTCAGGCATCACATAACCTCATGAAAGCAAACGTCGGTTACAAATTCGAGCCCCTTCCCACTTCAGTTGACCCAACTATTGAAATCTTAGTTTTTTCTTATCAAACACAGATAATAGAAATGTAGCAGGGTGTTATAGGTTTAAATTGTTAACAATGAATATTTTGATAATATATAGTAGAAAACACCAACTTTATCACTCCCTAATCAAATTTGCAGCATAAAATTAACACATGTTGCAATTACAGCATATCAACCTATTTTCATTTCAATGCAAAATAAATAAATAACGCATAAGTGGCTGTGAAAAATAAAAGCCATGACAATTGCTTTTATTAATTACAGCTGTCAGAATTCGTTATAATAGTTTTGGGAAGTTAAGGTTTTCAAAATGGGTAGAGGAAAGGTTATTAGTGAGAAAATTCGGTTACTGATAATCAAATTTTTTAATTCTTCGAAACCAAACTCAGAAATTGCAACTTTGTTAGACTTATCGCGGCACAGTGTGAGAAATATTGTTAGAAGATATAACGTAACTGGTTTAGTTAATATTAAGCCACGACATGTGAAAAAAAGTAATATCACAGATGCCGACCGAAGAGCATTGAAAAGAATAATCGTGAAAAACAGGCGTGCCAATTATTTACAATTAAGTGCTCTGTGGAGTGACGCTGTTGGAAGGAGAATTTCGAGGTCCACAACTCATAGGGCGGCCCACAAGCTGGGATTTAGCACTTGCAAGGTAAGTTTTCTTATAAAAAAAAAGTGAAGTAAAAACCATAAAGTTGCAGAACTTGTTTATAGGCCAAAGAAAAGCCACTATTAACTCCACTGCAAAAGAACAATCGGCTTAGATGGGCTAAAGAACATAGACTATGGACACCTCAACAATGGTGTGCAATAAAATGGAGTGATGAGGCCCGATTCGAAGTTTGTGTTGGTGACAGTCGCAGTAGAGTTATTCCCAAAAAAAAATGAAGCATTCCACGTTGACTGTCTGAAGAGAAAAGTGAGATTTCCAGCATCCATTATGGTCTGGGGCAGTATGCCATCAAAAGGAGCAGGAAAACTTCACTTTATTGATGGAAATGTGGATACAAACAAACATTTGGCGCTTTCAGCCGTAACAAAAAATAAAGGTGATGTTACCCAACGGTAATCCTTCAATTGTTGCTTTGTAAACTTCGCGCATTTATTCGCACATTGTTTATTTGTTCAGATATTCTATTAGTTATAGGTCTAAGTGATTTCAAATATGTATTTTTCACGACTAGGGTGTATCTAAAATGTTTTTGAGAAAATAAATTGTTTTAGAAGTAAATAGTTTCGTCATGTTTAGTTTAGAAAGGCATATTTTGGTACAAATCTTGAAGTGGGCCAACTGAAGTGGGAAGGAACTCGTACGTTAATATTAAGTTACTTTAAGCTGAACCCATCTGATAGCCACTATCTGCTTCCAGAAACCATGTCCAGATGTTATCGAAAGGCACTATGCAACATGGCAACAAAATTCCAAAAAATTATACTCACTTTTAAGTATCAAATCAGAAGTTATATGGTAGCTGATAGCGTATTATCCCAGTATAATGCCTCTTTGAATTTTAAGCATTCGCTTTTTGTTTTTTAAATCTACAGAAGCGTGGTTAATCCTAAACCTTCCTGATTTTAAAGGTTTTGAAATAACGGCTAGAACTTCCTTTCAAAACTCAGCAATAATCTGAGACAATGAGAGTATGAAAAGGTGGTTATCTACACTATCATGTTGATAACATAGTACCTACGAGAATGTGGTTAATAGTTTCGTTCCCTTCAAAAAAAGTATCGCTTTTGGTGGCTGGATTAGGATTGTTTTTTTAGATGGTGTCACGTATGATTATGACAGTATTTGAGAGAGCACTGCCTATAACTCTTACCAAAGATATCCTAATAACAGTGTTATACACTACAAGGTTATAAAACCGTGATGTTTGAGACTTCGAATGTGGAAATATCGACCCTTGTTCGACTGCTCTATGCAAACGATACAAACATACGGATTCCTAAGCGAGCAATGTATCATGACAGTTTACGCAAAACAAAGCAAATGTTGGCGCCATATTTCATTTTTAGTGACGCAAATCGCGTGAAACTTTGTGTTTATAGTCCCGAACAGCGACGACATTTGTATTTTTAGGTCATATGTTCTACTCACGTTTTTTCCATACGGGGTTGTTACGATAATAAGAAACATGATATATGGCATACACAGCTTGACGAGATGACATTTGCGCTCGTGCGGATTATCGTGGTTCGGTTCATAATGTGAATTTAAATCCGGGGCTTTCACTGACTGTGTGGAATTATTACTTTAGGATCTATATGATGCCACCGCCTTGTTTGTTTAACGTAAGCTAAGAGCCTTCTCTCACCGGATATAGATAATCGCATTATGTAGGTTTTTCCTGAAGAAAGTCACTGAAGCAGTTAAATGACTACATGCTTTTCTTGGCCCTTGTACTAATAGTGAACCTGGAGTCGTGGTTGGAAATTTAACAATTTCATTGCGTCTGTATTGATAGCTACAACTACCAGAAGATAAATAGCAATACTCATTTTACTTATTATGTACCCATCATCAATGCCTTCGATTTTATAGCAACCTATATCATGGGCATGACTATGATGATTACGGGCACCACCTTGGGGCGGTTACCATATTGGATTTGGGCTGACGTTGCTTGTTGCATTGTTCTTGCCAAGCCATTTTATTTGATACCCGTATCATCCGGGTGACTATGGAAAGTGTAAGTCGTCATTTTGTCGAGGTAGCCATATTGAATTTGGAGTCACGTCACTTTGCCTAATGTGTTTCTCGCATTAAGCCCTTTTAGTTGATATAGGGCTGAGACAACTGAGACAAGAAATTAAACAACAATTTGATAAATTGTAACTTTACGAAAAGCTGCTTACCGAACAGGATAAAATAATTGATCAACTGAAAAATGAGAATAGAAGATATCAAGAGCAGTATGATTCGTTAACGTATCACATCACTGAAAACGAGTCTATTACCTCTGCTCTCGAGAAACTAAACTCCAGAATTGAAGAGATTGAAAAAGTTACCACAAAACGTATTTCATATGCCTCAATAATGCTCCTTTGAAAACCAAACA